TCAATCACATGCATTATCACGTAAACATGATGCTCGTGACATGGTTTAGTAATTTGTTTAGAGCGTAACACCGAGGGTGTTACAGCTAGCTCCCTGTGCGAGCAGCATTCGGACCGGGCCTGTTAAATTTGGTATTAAAACCGGCTGAAGCTGATTTGTTGTGAGAGAAAAATACTGTAGATTCTAGCTGATAAGCCGCAAGCGAAAAGGCCCCCTGGATCATACATCCGGACGCTAGCAAGTCCGTTTTCATTAAGACCAATGGAAATACAAGAGTTCAACTCAGTAGAATGACAGACAGCCACCAGCACCAGTTCCCTAGTTCGGACGAAGGATTGAAACTGTCTCAAAGTCCAGACTGCAAATCCCACAAGTAACACGAACTCCACGTTTGTTTGCGCTCTTAGGTGCTCGGGCTCCCCAATCATTCGCATACTGTTGTTAGTGTAGACTACTGTATGTAGTGGACACAAAACGGCTTTAGCTCCAGAACAAAATGAACCGTGAAGAGAGGAGCAAAGAAGCTGTGAAAGAGAGGATCCAAAGGCCCTGTAGTTTTAGGGCTCCTTCCGTCTCGGTTTGCTGGCTAATCCTACGAACTCCGCTCTCCCGTTCTCCCATGGGTGATGGGTGCTTGGGCTTTGAACGGATGGGACACACACACACACACACACACACACAGGAGTGGACTGTGCTGCAATCATCGGTGCCAACAGCTAAGGCTAGTGCTAGTAATTACTCACGAAGTCACGATGCCGCCGGCAACCGTGAGCCCGTCCACACCATAGACCATACACTAGTACTAGTGAATGCTTGTAAGTATCACACAATCATTTTTATACATAAAAAACAAGAGAATTTTTACGATGGTTGTCATAAAATGGACGGCTCACGAGGACCGATCCGACGGCTAAAAAGGCAAAGGAACCGAGAAGAACCAATTTAAGAGGTACCGAGAGGAGCCAGGTGCATACTAAAATTGATCGGATCAGCACATGAAAAAAGTGGGAAATTTTCTATTTTTGAAATTATTTTACGTAATTGAGGGTAGAACAGTAAATCAAGGATAGAAAAATAATGTTCAGAGTACGATTGAAGTACTACAGTGTTTTCACGTATTATTCTCTTCGGACCAACGCAGGCCGGCCCCTCTCTCTCGGTCGCTGTGTTCTTTCTCGGGCCCTTCTTTCTCTCTGTGTGCTGCGGCGGCGAGTGCGAGGGCGGGGTGAGGACGAGGGCGGTGGCTGCGGCGGCGAGTGCGAGGGCAGGGTTGCGGCTTCCAGGGCATGCCATCCCTCCTCACCAGTCTCTGGCGAACGGCGGCACCGCGTAGATCCGGCGATGGCGGTGGAGGAGGTGAGATCCGGGCCCGGAGGCGTCCGCGCTCCCCTTCGCGGCGGCGGTGGCCGTCCCCGTTGGCGGGAGGGTGCGGGCGGCGAGGTGCGCTCGTAGACGCGGCCGTCCGGGTAGCAACCATGGCGGGGATCGACACCGTGGAGGAGGACGAGGAGGGTTGCCGGGCTCCTACACCGGCACCGCGTAGATCCGGCGATGGCGGTGGAGGAGGCGTGATCCGGGCCTGGCGGCTTAGGGTTTCGCTCGCGCCCCACTCAGGTAACCTCAAGCGCCGTCTTCAATCCCAATTGCACCCGAAGCTATAAGTCTCTCAGCTTAATTTTGTGTCTAATTCGATTTGGTTTCTTCGAATGCGTTCGTTTCATCTCAGCTTCATTTTGTGTCTAATTCGATTTGGTTTCTTCGATTGCGTTCGTTTCAGGTCAGCGTAGCTAGCACGAGACCGGCCATGGCACTGACGCAGGCCAAGTCAGGTCTCTTCGTTGGCATAAACAAGGGACACGTCGTCACCAAGCGAGAGCTGGCGCTTCGCCCGTCCGATCGCTAGGGGGTAAGAATATCCGTGTCGAAGCCTCCAATCTCTTAATACTGCTCTGCGATCTCAATTGCAGGTGTAATCCAGCCTATAGGACCAAAATCCTACTATTTTGTGCCGTGCTTGTATATATCTTAGTTGAATTGCAGGTTATGAATTTATGATTTGTGTATTGGACATAAAAGAACGATGACTGTTTTGTGCAATAATTTTATTTTTGACTTGGTAAGAGATTGGCATTTTGGTATGGTGGATTCTGCTGGATTACATACTCTAGTGGATGACCTGCTTGGTTTTGCGTATTTGAACTGCAATGTTACTTTTGGTGTATCATTAATGTTAGATAATTGAGGAGGTTTGATGATTGAATAATCCGAATTGTTAGGTCAAACAGGCCTGTTGCTTTTGGACGAAAAAACTATGGGCGTAGAAATATTTGTACATTGAATAGTCTTTTTTTTTAAACAGCTTTGTTGTGTTTCTTGCCTCATCTCATCTTTGGCAATCTGGAGATTTTCCAATACTCCAAGTTGCTAGTCCTGGAGGCAGATATTAATTGGTGAGACATAACGTGGAAACTTAGCCACATTGTGATTTTGTTTCTAAAACTTCTCACTAAATGCACCTTTTTAGCACATGATTCGTAAGCAGAAGTTTTACCTAATTTACATTATGACTGGTTTGGGTTGTAAAATTGAGGCATAATGTGAGTTTGCCGCTGAATGATCTGAATTGGTCAGTCTACTAAGCTAGGTGTGGTGCTTTGGGAATGACAAAACTATAATTTTAAAACATTTGTCGAAATGATACCAGGACTAAGTTACTAAAACATCCAAAACTAGATAAAAACTAGTCAGCAGGAAGTACATCGTGAAACAAGTTTTCCTTGCTTTTCCAACCACTTCTTTACAGCGGAACACAAGTTCTGATCAGCAGGATTAGTTTTGGATGACTAGGTGAGTCTAACCAGGAACTAGATCGAAAGTTGAAAACAACCAGATTCTAGTAAAAAGAGTTTGGAATACAATGCCAGTAAATGTCAATTTATCTACATTAAAATATTAAGCTTCCAGGTTTAATTGTGCCATGGTCATTGCATTCTTTTTAGCTGCCAAAGCTATACTTAAATTCTAGTTTGTACTTTGAGTAGCGAGGTTGAAGTGTGTGATCCAGAAATCAAAACACCAAGGCACCAAGCAATGCAATTGGTAAGGTTTCTGCTTGATAAAATGGTGGTGCACTCTTTTATATCTATGGACAAATATATGTAACAAATTGCATTCATAAACACATCTTAACAGTAGACTAAATCAAGCACCAAACTGACATAAAACATATTTCGATTAATAAGTAAATATAATTTTAAAAATTATGGTTCTTCTATTGGGACCAACTAAAACCTTTAGTAGATGATATTATTCCAACTTAGCATATGGACATAAGGTGCAAAATTTCTTTTGGCTCTCGGGCAAAAAAGGAGAAACAATTTTAAATCTCCACAAGAACAATTAGAAGCTCGGATAAATTAGTCAAATACAATAATTTTGTTGGGATTTTCGACACTTGAAATATGACTTGTAGCCTATTTGAATAGCAACACATGGAATTGCTAGAGTTTGGTTTTACAGATAATAGATAGAATTCTCTGAAAGAGATAATGAACTTTACTATATCCAGGCATAAATAAGGAACTCAAAAGCACAGATCTACCTAACACTACTATACTGGACGGAGGTCGATCGAACAGGGAGTAGAATTGCCACGAGATCGAGGAAGAAAAGAGAATGAAGAAAACATGCGGATGCAGACCTTGAGAGGCAAAGGCGGCACCTTGGAGTCGTGGAGCAGGAGAGGAGCGTCCTTAGCGGCGTCAATGAGAGGAAAGTCGTGCACGTCGTCAGCCGCCTTGTAGTCGTGGAGCGAGAGAGGAGCGTCCTTAAGGGCGGCGGCGGGCGGTGTCAATGAGAGGAAGTCGTCGGCGGCGGCGACGTGCACGGGGCGTGGTGTCGGAGGAGGGAGGAGGGAGGAGCGACCGGTGGTGGCGAGGGCGGGCGGTGGCGGCGGCGCCAGCGATGATGCGCGGTCGAGGGCGAGGCAGCCAAGCGGCTAAGGCCGAGGGCGAGAACTGCTCGCGTCCTTCAGTGCTGCGCGTGCGCGAGGCGTGCGTCGCCGCCTTGTAGGCGTGGAGCAGGAGAGGAGCGTCCTTGGTGGTGGCGGCGGCGTACAGCGAGAGGAAGTCGTGCGGCGGCGGCGGTGCGCGTGGGCGAGGGGTGCCGGGGGGAGGAGGGTGGAGCGACCGGTGGTGGCGAGGGCAGGCTGGTGGCGGTGGCGCCGTGCGATGGCGAGGTCGAGGGTGAGGCGGCCGCGGCTAAGGCCAAGGGCAGGAACTGCTCGCATCCACGGAACTGCTCGCGTCCTTCGGCTGCGCGTGGGCGAGGCGTGCGGGTTCGGGTGTGCGTGGAGGAGGGGTAGCGGGGGGAGGGGAGCCGCAATTACCCTATTAACCTTCCACTCATAAAATTAATTAGCGTTAATTAATTACTTAGAAACTAAGAGGAACCAAGAATTGCCCCAACCACTGTAAAAGAGCTCAAAAAACAATCCATTTTTAATCATATGGGAAGATACATAAGAAAGCAGAGTACAAACGTCCTCGTTTTGTGTATGAGACTAAAATGACAAATGCATGAGACTAGTGACGCTACTTCCAAAATTTTTCTTGTATGTAAGTATAAACTATAACTGATATCTTTCCACACTCAAATGTCAAACGCATCAATTCGGTAATCAACACGAGTGCAGAACCGCAGACCATCTCAGTATTCAACTTTCAATACCCACCTTTTCCTTCAGAAGGGTTATCAAAACACCTCTTTGAGGAACAGCCATATAGTGCCAACTTCAATTAACACCGCTTCCGAGAAGTGGAAACAACTGGCTAAGCTCAACAAGATTCCAATCGTTTCTGCATCAACACCAATGTATTTCCCTCTATACGTTCGTCGCATGTGAAGCGCTTGCGGATAATTGTATCTACTTTTGTGAAAGAAAACGTTTCGATTTCTTTTATGATCAAGTTAGTGTGTTCTTGCCCTCCTGCAGAGGCTCCTCACTTGGAATTCTGCTCAGCCTGGCTGCCATCACTAGTACTTTCCTGCTGCAAAGGATTTCTCAGATATGGCGAGTCTTTGTACCTGGCATATATCGGCAAGTCCAGTGCCTTCTCTGCTATTTTTTCATCCTCGTGAATCCTCTCTATCAAACACTCAATCGAAGGAAAGTTGGCCTATGAAGCAACCAAGGTTCCTGCAAGGGGACCCTTTTATTTATAACAAAGTATAGAATGAACATAGGAATGACTGTAAAGAACACTCACCACTGTCTTCTCAGTGTTGTCGAAATATGGGTTCCAGCCAATGCTCATAACCATCTTATATATACCACGTGCTGAAAGTCCAGCCCAGCCAAAGTATACCCTAGATGTATGCTCTGACACTACGTCGGCAAAGTTCTCTGCGGGTAAATTGGCTACAGTATAAAAACAAAAACATCAGTGCTCCAGATGAAAACTTGAGTATAGTAGTATCAAATAAACAAATATGAACTCCTACAGAATAGTAGAATACTACGCAAAATGACCCAGATTAGGAACAGACAGCATAACATATAAGAGTACAATTCTTGAAGAATAAAGTTCAAAGTGAACCATTAGGAAACAGAATATATATCGTTTTGGTGAATCCTCCCACCGTTCCAACATGTAAGTCTTTTTTGTTTTGTCCTAAGTCAATCTTCTCTAGTTTTAACCAAGTTTGTTAAAAACATATTTAAATGCACTATGCATATATTTCATGATGGATTTGATTAAACTAATTTGATGTTGTAGATATTTTGACCAAGTTTGTTAAAAACGTATTAACATCTAAAATACCTAATAAATGCACTATGTACATATTTCATGGTGGATTTGATTAAACTAATTTGATGTTGGTGATTTTTCTACAACACAGTGAAAGTCAGAAGTTTGACTCAGCACAAAACTAAAACGACCTACATTATGGATCGTAGGGAGCATAACATAAAAAGGGGCAGCTATCTATAAATTCAAGAAGTACGACCAAATAATATCCGTTACAGATTGGGGCCTGCAAACCAGCATGAAACCGTTGGTCTATCATATAGTGTCAGCACATTTCCTACTGGTGTCTTTTGTCTAGCAACTTTCTTAGTGAGGCAAAATGCTGAACTGATTCAAAAGTAAAAAAGATAGTTATTGAAGCAACTGAAATGGCCCATTCAATGAAACGAAAAATGAGATTCTAACCAGCTGCTATATGTAACCTTTATGTTTCTAGTCCACCATACCTGTTGGTATTCCTAGTACTTTAGAACCACGGCCAAATCCTTTGATCACAGGTCCACTGATAAACCATGGTTCTATTGGTAACGTACCTTCAATCCCTGCACAGAAAATTTATTCACAGATAAACTAATAAAGGAATACATATGTTCTCTGAATGAACAAAAGTAATAGACAAGCTCAAGAGTTCGAACATACAATCATTAAACGGTGGCAAACCCCACTTCTCAGGCCTTACGTCAAGGAGGGAATCGATCACCTCATCAGCTGAACTGAACTCAGCAGTCTTTTTGGGTACTGAAGGTACAGCTATGACATGCATTCCCGCAGCTTTTCCAGCTGCAACACCTGGCCTAGCACAACCATTATTTACAGTGTTAGAGGTAATTTCTTCACGAAAGTACTTCATCCTACCTACATCATATTTTGAACCAGTAAAAGGAACGGTCATCAGGAAAAAAATACAGATGCTACATGTGATGTCAGCTCAGAACTATACATGTATAGGGAAGAGAAAATAAACAGTTACTTCTTCTGGTGACATGCATGACTGTATTTTTCTTCTTGAACACGCACAATATTTGTGTATCATTTCATTAATAACTATAAGAGAGGAGAAAATACAATGGTGAAAGGAGAAAATCCAAAGACACCCAAAACACGAAACTCTAAAAATCTAGAAGAGAGGCAGCCACAGGAAAAAAGGTGACCAGCTACCCCAGAACTAAAATCACACGCCTCATGTAAATGCCCTGACCAGGTGGTCTCGGAGATCTTTAGCTCCGGCCGAGCACCAGAGGACACACTCATCTGCCACTACCTGTAGGATTGTCATAAAAATTGACCTCACACTATAAAAAGCAGTCATTCCGGTGCTTCCATATTTCCCATGCCACTAGGATGTTTTTTTTCCTTGAAGTTTCATTGATAGATAGCAAAAATGATCACGAGTGAATTGAGACCTTTCCTGATTTCCTTTGGCAATGTTTTATAGTGCTTGACACCAGTAACTTGAAAATCTACTGGTGTTGGCCTGAAGCGTCCAGAAGATAAATTGCAACTTCTGAAAAACCTCAGTCCAGACCTGGCAGGCACAAACACAGGAGACAAGGAAGTGTTGGATGGATTCTTCAGCTTGACCGCAAAGAGGGCAGACAGCCGGATGAGGAAGACAATGCTTGGCAAGGCGATCAGCAGTCCAGCATCAAGTTTTCACCGCAAGCCAAAATTATGCAGATTTGCTGTTGCATTCCCCAGATGTTATGAGCTTCCAGCGGTACTGATCCACCACTCCCCGCTGCAAGATCAAACCATAGGCCAGCTCCCAGATGTAAAGATACAGATACTCCCGTAGGACTGAAAATGCCAACACGGTGCATTCTGTAACCCTAAAATGCACCATGGTAAACATTTTTTTTGTCACTAGTTAAAATCTCGCGTATTTGCACAAGTACGTCCAAAACATGGTTTTAGTAGCCTTCCTATGTTTCAGGTGGGAAGAGGGCACATAATGTTTTTTCTGAAGAGTGTATCATATATAGCATAAAGTTAGTAAGTTACAGAAGGAAAAACTTACAAGGAATCCTCGATTACTAGGCAATTTGAAGGAGTGACGTTCATTCTTTTTGCAGCTTCCAAAAATCTGGAAGACCAACAACAGCAGATTGGAAATAAGAAAATGAGATGATTAAGCAAATCTGGAGTATCGTCAGAGATGATGACATATCTTACATATCTGGGGACGACTTCCCCTTCTCTACTTCGTCTCCACCAACAATTGCAGAGAAAGACTCCTTCCATCCTATACAAGGTAGGAACAAATTCACTAATAAATAACTTCACCGCACAGATAGAAAAAGGAAGTGCCTAATCATATTTCCAGATATACCTTGATGGCAGGAAATTTTGGCCACGATATTAGATCTTGGATCTTGGTGAGTTTGAAGCTAAAGCAGTAGGCACCCCATTACTCCTTAAATGTTTTATCAGCCGATTAGCTCCTGGAAGAGGTTTTATGTTGCACCACCTGCATTATGAGGTGTAGTAAATCAAGGATATTCAGCAACTCAAAAAAAGAAAAAGGGAGAGAACTAACTGTCAAAGAAACAGGCATCCACATCTAGAAATGATGAAAGAATCATAAATGGATCTTATCAAGAAGATGCAGCAATACAGTCAAATACATCTAAAATCCCCCTCCCCTAAAATAGTATTTCAGTACAACTTTTGCAAACAACAAGAAAATATACAAGCACATAGAAGATCCAATGGCATTACTGTTCACTGAGCATTGGAGTAATCATTGAGAGGAACTCTTCTGTAGAGTAAGGGAGTCCATAGGGTCTGTTTGGGACTGCTCTGCTCCACTTTTTGTAGCTCTGCTCCTAAACTTTCCTGCCAAACAGGTCCAACTCCACAAACTCTGCTCCCAAAAAAAAGATAGAGTTTTGGTCCAACTCCATGTTTTTCGCGGAGCTCCTCAGAGGGTACTCCACAAACCAACGTTTCGTATGTCCTCGTGAAGTTGGAGATAATTACCCGCAATTACCACTCGTTACATGAATACCGTTTCGTTCTATTTCCTCCCGTCCCCCCACCCGACGCCCTCATCCTCCTCTACTCCCGTCGCCTCTCTCCTCTCTGCCGCGAGTACGCGCCGCCGCCGCCTCTCGCGTACTCCCCTGCTCGCCGTCCGCCGTGGCTCAATCCCACGGAGGAGCAGCGCACAGGCTGGCGACCCCGACGCCGACGGCCTGACCTCCACGGCCGCACGGGCGCAGCCCACTGCATCTGGTGGCCCTGTGAGGCTCCGACCATTGACGTCGACCTCTAGGCCGTTGGGGCGGTTGCCGGTGACCTCGACCTCGACCTGGAGCTGGACTTCAGCTCGCTGCTCTCCGACTTCATCTGTGCATCCACGGCTACCTCGCCTCCGATAGCACAACACAGCAGGTCTAGATCCATGGCCCTTATCTCCATTCCCGATCTGAAGTATTTGGTTGTAGAAACTACAAGGTTGCAAGCTGCGACCTGATCTTTATATATGCGTTTTATTTTCCAGTAAGCCTGTGCCGCGTTTTATCTTCAATAGGATAATTTTCCTTTAGAGTCATCATCTTTTAAGTCATTCAACATGTGCTCTTCACTGTTCCTAATAGTAGCGTGAGAAAACAACTTATATCATCAGTCATCACACTTTTGAATAATCTACCGACAATTGGTAGCTCTGTTCTTTGGCATATTACTTTCTCTCTACTTTCATGAAACAGCAAACCATTGATGAGTTGAAACGCATTTTGTTATGCTTACTTGAGCAGGTGCGTTCACCGAGCTGATTCATCAAATGCAAGTGAAAGGTGTACAGGTTAGCTTCCAGGGCTCTGTTGCGTTCACATGACAACATGCCAGCTACCAACTATGTTTGAGGTCATGCTGAACACACCGGGAGAATGTCATTCACAGCTTCGGATGATCACACAGATGTTCTACGACCTTCATGATTTATTGGTTGGAAAGTATGGTCTGAAACCATCCCTACATATAAACACTCAGGAGATGTTCACTCATCCATCCGCAATGTTATTGAGCGATCATTTGGAGTGCTAAAAATGAAATGGCAGATTCTATATAAAATGGCGTCCTACCCGATGCACCGAATGCTCCTACTATGGATAAATTCCGTGATGACTTGGCCACCGCTCTTTCTCTAGCTTGGAACTATAATTATGTATTAGTCACTATTCTCTAGTTATCTATGGACAACTATTTCTATTAGAATGATGTACTTTGTTATCTTATTTATCATTAGTCATGTATGGACAATTATTTGTATCCGAAATATGAACTTTGTCAATTATCCATCAAGCGCTTTGAAATTTACATGACAAAAGTATGGAATTATTTGGCAGAAATATTTGTTTTTTACTTTTCTCCAATAAATTAAATGAGATTATAATATTTACACCATATTTGAATTGGTAAAAAAATATTCAATTACACATGCTCTGCATACAACAGAATATACACCAAACTTCGATCAGGGGCATAGTAAACCTTTCCTATAGAAACCTCATGTTTCTAGAGCTGGAGCTAAACTGCGTGCTAAACAGGTCCACTTGCTCCAGAAACTCCACAGTGGAGCTACTCTGTGGTGGAGTTGGTGGAGCAACGCTGAAAAATGTGGAGCAGCGCATAGTCTTCTAAAACAACAGCTGCAGCTTCATAAGGTGTCTTCCCAACTAGCTTGTGAGCTTTCTTGCTATCCCACGTTTTCCCATTTTTGGCAAGAAATGTTTTTACCACCTTACTTACAATGGAACCTGCCAATTAGTACAACCAAGAAAATCAAAGTTGGCTCAGGCAAGTGAATTTGGTACACACTCTAAGCTTCAAAAAACATCAACTATAAGTGTTTTCAGCCACCTGTGTTTAAAAGGGTGCCATCCAAATCAAGAATGACATGGGAAATAAGCTGAGAAATGGGCTTGGGTGCTGACATTCCAAGCACAAAACAGTTCAATGCAGCAAGAGATAAGTTATCTGGGAAGCACAACCTGAGAAATGACCAAACACTTTAGGCATATATCACAATTGATGGCAGAACTAGAAGACACATGAGCTTAATAACTTTATGCTATACATATGGAATGCTTTAGAATGCCTCAAAACGTAACCTATTCCTAAGGTTATGCCCACAAAAGACACAGCTATATTAAGTTCTGTCATCCGTCCAAAATTAAATCGAAAGACTGCAGATGACATATGCATTTGGCAAGAGAAAACAAGGTTGCAGGTGCTAGGGTTTCCTTACCTTGGCAAGGGAGGCCGAGCCCCTCCGTTGTAGGAGTATGCTGACGTGGAGGGAAAGCGGCGCGGGGGAGGGAGGTCACCGGGGTAGGACGTCGACGGTCAGCAAATCAGCACCGGCAACCAGCAGTCGCAGATGCACAGGAGGAAGGAGGCGCCGGGGTCAAATAAATGGGGCCGAGACGACCCATGAGAGCCGAGCGTTAGAAAAAGCCCACCAATAGGCATCTCCAGGCCCAGAAGGCCTATCCCGTTGGGCAGTTACGGGGGCCATCACCGGTCAAGCCTCACCAACCCACCAAGCCCGAATCTCGACGCAAAAACCACGGCCTCAAAACGCCCTTCCCCGCATAGCTAGGGTTTCCCTCTCCACCCCTCCTCCTCCGGCAACTCAGGAGAGAGCGCGCGGCTGCTGCTACCCGGCGGCCCGGCGGCGGTGAAAGCCGCGACGACCCAACGCAGAACAGGCGCCATGGCTGCCCCCGAGGCGCCCTCATGCTACGTCGGGGTCGCGCGGCAGTCCGCCGCCTTCCGCCTTATGAAGCAAATGGTACGTGATCCGACCAGTAGTGTCCTCGCGCATTTATTTTTGTTGGTTCAAAAAACTGAGTGTTCTGTGGAAAATTTGACACGCGGGTTAAGGCAATCATATTTACCAGCTTTAGCCGTCAAGTTAATGCGACTTAAATAGAAACAATCACATTTTATTCACATGATGAGAATTAATGTGAATCAAAATAATGGAGAGGCGTGAATTATGCTGTAGTTGGTGTCTCTTGCGAATGAACTTTGTTCTGATTTTTGGAACTGCTGAGACAACAACATACATGAACGAATGACCTGCAGTTTCTGTAAATTGCTTGCTTCTCCAAGTTTTGCTGACTTTATGTGCAATTATATTTGCCTATTTGGTATACTTACTCATTCTACAGTGATCAATACACTCACTCATCCTATACTATGATAAATACTGTTTTAGGGATGGGAAGAAGGTGAAGGCCTTGGCAAAGACAAGCAAGGCATAAAGGCTCATGTTAGAGTGAAAAACAAGCAGGACACACTAGGTCCACTCTCTCTTCTAGAATTCCTGGGTTTCAAAGCTTTCTGATTAGAGAACTTAAATGGTCACAGCTGAATTTGCTGATGCGTGACTGAGATTTTGTATGCAGGTGTTGGTGTAGATAGCCCTCATAACAAATGGGTATATGATACCACCCAATTTGACAACATACTGAAGAAACTGAAAGTGGTACGGCAAGTAAAAGATTACCTTTCAGTTCCACCAATGAGTTCCGATTGACAATGTCTAATAATTGTTCTCATCTTTTTCTTGTGATTTTGGTGGTTGTTTTTCTCTGCAAGAGCAGCAATCAGCTAATCCTATTCAAGAAGGTATACCTTGCACATTGGTTTTGTATTCTTGTTTTGTAATTGTTCTTAATAATTATACCCATCTTTTTCCTTTTTTCAGAGGTTGCAGCTGTAAAAAGTGATTCTCCTGACATCACACCAAAAAAAGACAAATCAGCAAAAGATGAAGTTACTAAAGTTACTCGACCTCAAGGAAGGTTGGTTTGGACCTAATTTTATTTCAATTCGTTAACTTACTTTATTAATTTCCTGTAAATGATAACTTCCTTTTCTCAGATACAAGAAGAGAGAGAGAGGGAAAAGTGTGAGCTCTTATTCAGCAACAGATCTTCAAGGCATACTCGTAAGGGATTTTCTTTTATGTATTTGTTTCTTTTAAATAAACTGGCTATCATCAATGAGCAATTGTTTCTTGCACAGTATATTCAATGTGTGTTTGTTTGAGTTACTAACTCTAATTTGTTAAGAGCATCTCCAAGTGCTCATTTAAACACCTCCCTAACTGTTTTGTTTTTGGCAAAAAGAAAAAAAAAGCGGCTCTTCAACAGTTATGTATCTGAAATCTGTAAAGATAAGCACTTGTTAAATCTCCTCCAACTCCCAGATATGTGATATGTGCGGCCTGGGACCAGGGGGGGGGGGGGGGGGGGGGGGGCAGGCGGCAGCGGTAGTCTGTGGACGGCTGAGTGGGTATTTTTTTCTTGTGGTAAAGAACTTTTTGGAGATGCTCTACTAGTGTTAAGTACTTAAGTACTAGTCTACTGGAAAGCACTGCATGCATTTGAATTATTTAGCTACAGTTGTGCTAATTGGCCTTGTTCAGACATCTAAAGCAACCTGTCCCTGGCGCAGGTACGCAAAAGTGAAGATAATTCCCAAGTGGATCCGAAACTTGAACCATCATGCTTGGATGAACCTGATCCCATCATCTGCCCGGATGCAGGTCAGTAGTGTGTGTGTGTGTTTTGTACTGCCTTCAGTATTGCCTGAGCTTTTGGCCCTTTAATTCCTTATATTGATCTGAGTTACCTTATGTTACCAGAATAGGATGTTTTTGGACTACTTTGTAAGATTTTAAAAAAATAATGCTCTAAACTTGCCAGGACCCTCTCATTAGCTATTCAAATCAGAGTGCTTGAAATGAAATCAGGTTGGTTATTTGATCATTCTTTTAACCAGAAATACAAGTACAACTATCAGGCTAAAACAAATCCTTTCAACAACAACAACAACAAAGCCTTTAAGTCCCAAACAAGTTGGGGTAGGCTAGAGTTGAAACCCAGCATAAGCAATCAAGGTTCAGGCACGTGAATAGCTGTTTTCCAAGCACTCCTATCTAAGGCTAAGTCTTTGGGTATATTCCATCCTTTCAAGTCTCCTTTTATTGCCTCTACCCAAGTCAACTTCGGTCTTCATCTGCCTCTCTTCACGTTACTATCCTGGCTTAGGATTCCACTACGCACCGGTGAAAGGTCCTAATATGGCTACCGGGGGGGGGTGAATAGGCTATTTAAAAATCTACAAACCGATTAGAGCAATTTGATTAGTATAACAAATAGCGAAATACAAACTTGCTCTAGCTCTACAAGGGTTGCAAGTCATCTATCCAACAATTCTAGTTGTTATGATCACTAGGCACACAATTTACTAGGTCACTATTCACTAAGAGCTCTCACAATATGCTACACTAAAGAGCTCCACTAGATGAACTTAATCCACAAAGCAAGCTCTCAATTCTAGCTACACTAAAGAGCTTGTTATAGCTAGTTTGCGGAAATGTAAATGAGTAAGTGAGGTGATTA